AGAGACAATACAATAAGTGTCAGGGGCCCGAGACTGCTCAACTGCCTCCCAGCATACATAAGGAGGATTACCAACAGACCCCTGGCAGTCTTCAAGCTGGCACTGGACAAGCACCTAAAGTCGGTACCTGACCAGCCAGGCTGTGGCTCGTACGTTCGATTGCGTGTAGCCAGCAGTAACAGGCTGGTTGATCAGGCTCTGATCCACCAGGAGGCCTGGTCACAGACCGGGCCACGGGGGCGTTGACCCCCGGAACTCTCTCCAGGTAAACTCCAGGTAAACATGTATAGTGCCTACAGAGCTGATACACATACCATTTTAAAGCTAAAAAGAAGCTCTTAAACTTTTTATTTAGACCATTTTTGACCTAAGTGGTCAAGCAAAAAAGCTGACCCTTTTTGTAACCTTTGACCTGAAAAAGGTCAAAATGCACAACATATTTTTTTCTCACCCACTAAATGGGGATTAGTCTACATGACTACCTCAGACTGGAATATAAATTTTCATGGGATTTTAATTAGATTAGATGCCACATCCATTTTAGCAAACCTACTCAATGCTATTTTCACATTTGATCCTAGCCGTAAACTTCTCCAGACCATATCTCTAGATCCATTACAGTTAGAGTAGGGAAACAAATCTCATTTCATTGATTTATACATATGTTCCCACAACACCTAGCTAACACCAAGGTACCTACTTACTGCTTGGTGAACAGGGGTAACAGGTACAAGGAAATATTCCCAACACTTCTATTTGTGCAAGGATGGGACCCAGGTCCCTCAGATGTGAGCCAAAGACACTACAATTTGTGCTACACAAATTAACAAATTATCCCAAATGTATGCATACACCATCACATTATATTACTCACACTCTGACATCACATCCAATCCTCAAAGCAACCAAACTTAAAGACTTCATTCTTTTACTCTTTAGTAATTCATACAGGAAAAGGGATTACTAATCCTTTAATCCTGGCACTTTAGGCACCGACAGCATAAAGAATGAGACACATGCAACATTTGTGGCCTGGTGGCTAAAGCTCCCGCTTCACACACGGAGGGGCCGGGTTCGATTCCCGGCGGGTGAAAACATTTCGACACGTTTCCTTACACCTGTTGTCCTGTTCACCTAGCAGCAAATAGGTACCTGGGTGTTAGTCGACTGGTGTGGGTCGCATCCTGGGGGACAAGATTAAGGACCCCAATGGAAATAAGTTACAGTCCTCGATGACGCACTGACTTTCTTGGGTTATCCTGGGTGGCTAACCCTCCGGGGTTAAAAATCCGAACGAAATCTTATCTTATCTTATCTTATTGAAATAATGTTTTGCCAGCCAGTGGAAGATGAGGAGGAGTTTGAGGTAATCAATCCCTCAGCCTGGTGTTGATGTGTTCAGTCCATCAATCTTAAGAAAAATACAGAATATGAGTGAAGAAGTGTCTTATATACGTACTGTAGTCAGACGAGTTGAAGCAAGAGGTGGAATCACCAGTGGAAAAATCCACTAGCATAAGTAGGTCATACCTGTAGCTTATGCAAGCACTGAAGAATTCCCAACTCAATACCAAGTGCTGATTGGCTCAAACATGCTCACAATCAAAATTAATGAATTATATTTGCTAATCTCTCAAAATACAATTTCCCAAATATTTACTATTCTGTGGTGAACATTTATAGGTTGTATTATAAAATGTAAACTAATACCAGAGTTCTGCTAAGTATTGGTCAGTAACCTTAACCATCCAATGTTTTTATGTTCTTAAATCTAACCTGAACGTGACCAAAACCTAATCCAAACATAATTTAAACAAAACCTTGGCAATTTGAAAGTCAAAGACTTTGCCTAACACCAATGGACTTCAATGGATTTAACTCCATTGGAAAAAATGAAGGAATATCTTAGATTAAGTCAAAAGTCACTTGTATGTCTATGAGTACAAATATGAAACATAATAATAATAATAATATAATAATATCTTTATTTACTACAATGTGGCAGATGTTGCAAGTACGTATATGGAATAGGTGGTAACTAACTAAATGCTGTAAAGAGTTTGCATGAGGATAGTGAGGCTCAGGTTAGGGTGTGTAGAAGAGAGGGAGACTATATCCCGGTAAAAGTAGGTCTTAGGGATGTGTAATGTCACCATAGTTGTTTAATATATTTATAGATGGGGTTGTAAAACAAGTAAATGCTAGGGTGTTCGGGAGAGGGGTGGGATTAAATTATGGGGACTCAAATACAAAATGGGAAGTGACACAGTTACTTTTTGCTGATGATACTGTGCTTATGGGAGATTCTAAAGAAAAATTGCAAAGGTTAGTGGATGAATTTGGGAGTGTGTGTAAAGGTAGAAAGTTGAAAGTGAACATAGAAAAGAGTAAGGTGATGAGAGTATCAAATGATTTAGATAAAGAAAAATTGGGTATCAAATTTTGGAGGAGTAGTATGGAAGAAGTGAATGTTTTCAGATATTTGGGAGTTGACGTGCCAGTGGATGGATTTATGAAGGATGAGGTTAATCATAGAATTGATGAAGGAAAAGAGGTGAGTGGTGCATTGAGGTATATGTGGAGACAAAAAATGCTATCTATGGAGGCAAAGGAGGGAATGTATGAAAGTATAATAATACCAACACTCTTATATGGGTGTGAAGCTTGGGTTGCAAATGCTGCAGGGAGGAGGAGTTTGGAGGCAGTGGAGATGTCCTGTCTAAGGGCAATGTGTGGTGTAAATATTAAACAGAAAATTCGGAGTGTGGAAATTAGGTGTGGAGTTAATTAAAGTATTAGTCAGAGGGCTGAAGAGGGGTTGTTGAGGTGGTTTGGTCATTTAGAGAGAATGGATCAAAGTAGAATGACATGGAGAGCGTATAACTCTGTAGGGAAAGGAAGGCGGGGTAGGGGTCGTCTTCGAAAAGGTTGGAGGGTGGGGATAAAGGAGGTTTTGTGGGCGAGGGGCTTGGACTTCCAGCAAGCGTGCGTGAGCATGTTAGACAGGAGTGAATGGAGACGAATGATATTTGGAACCTGACGAGCTGTTGGAGTGTGAGCTGGGTAATATTTAGTGAAGGGATTCAGGGAAACCAGTTATTTTATACAGCCGGACTCGAGTCCTGGAAATGGGAAGTACAATGCCTGCACTTTAAAAGAGAGGTTTTAGATGTTGGCAGTTTGGAGGGATATGTTGTATATGTTTATATGTATATACTTCTAAACTGTTGTATTCTGAGCACCTCTGCAAAAACAGTGATTATGTGTGAATGAGGTGAAAGTGTTGAATGATGATGAAAGTATTTTTTGGGGGGATTTTCTTTCTTTTTGGGTCACCCTGCCTCGGTGGGAGACGGCCAACTTGTTAAAAAAAAAAAATGTACATGGTATACAGGCCTAGCTGACATCAATGACATACTACTATATAGCAAGCTGCTTGTTATGCAGAGCATTTCAAACAAATTAGGTCAGTTTTGTCCCAGGATGCAATCCACACCAGTCTACTAACTCCCAGGTACCCATTTTACTGATGGGTGAACATAGATTACCAGTGTAAAGAAACACCCCCAATGTTTCTACCCTCAGTGGGAATTGAACCCAGACCCTTGCCATGTGAAGCAAGAGCTTTAGCCACCAGGCCACGGGACACTGTGATATGTAGGAAAATACTGTGCCTCAGAACAAGGTAACTTATAGTAAATAAATAACTGACTACACAGTGAAAGGAGCTGGACATGCCTATCATTAATTTACATTCATGGGGAATGCTAAACCCACAGGGGTTATGCAGCTCTTGGGAAAATGGGAGGCACTCACACTTTATCCAAGGAGAGTACAAGTACAATTCCTTAGCCCAAGAGCTCCTCAGCAGCATCAAGGAACCTCCCTTGAAGGGTTGGACCTGCCTAGCATGGGTCAATAGGCCTACTATAGCATTCTTTCATTCTTGCGATTCATTTTGCTTACCAGTAACTCAGCTTATATTTCAATAATTCTAGTCTCAATAAAGTTGCTGAAACTAATAAACAGCTATAATTCATAAAACTTAAGAAATCTTAATTTTAAAAAATTATTCTTCAAATAAATCTGAGCAATGATTGCAACCCATCAAAGAAAACAATGAAAAGGATTATATCAAGTAAAAACAATCAGACTTTGGGAACGAGTTCACCTTACACACTGAGTGTCCGTGGATCAATCCCCGGCATGGGTGGATTATTATTATAATCGAGGGGGAAGCGCTAAACCCAGAGGATTATACAGAACCTGGGGGGGATGTGGAAGGCATTCTGGCTTAATTCGGGGAACTGGAGCACAGATCCAATTCCCTAAATCAAGAGCCCTTCACCAACATCAAGGAACCTTCCTTGAGGGGCAGCATAGGTGGAAACACTGGGCATGTTTCCTTCCACCTGCTGCCCCTGTTAATTGACTGGAGTGGGTTGCATCCTGGGGGGACAAGATTGAGGTTATAATAATAATTATTGACAATCCTCGATAATTATTATTATAACCAAAACCAAGAGTTAAAAGTCCTCGATGATGCACGGACTTTCTTTGGTTATCCTGTGGCTAACCCTCTGGGTTAAAAACAAAAAAAGAACAAATCCTATTTTTCTCATCTTAAGAGTTACAGGAAGGCTGTGTGCATGTGGTCACCCATCCAGTTGCTACCTAACCTCAAGTGTTTAACGTCTTCTAAGAGGATAATATATCACCCACAGGGCTGCTGCAACTAACTGTATTGTAAGAAGGCTTATTATTATAATCATGGGGAGTGCTAAACCCGTATAAGCAAGCTCAACAATATAATGCCAAGCACATATTCTCAAATGGGCAAGATACACGTAAGTTATTTCAAATTCTGAAACGGTGGCGCCTCTAGCGGATGTGGTTCTCACTTCACATTAACCTTACCGCTGACTGTATAAATCACATACACTGTGCAAGAGATAAATTTAAAAACTAGTAGTCAATAAATACAATGAACACGAACATACTTTGCTGGCTGAGTTCATTGTTGTTTGTGATGGCGAGAGTGAGCGAGAGCACCAGTGGTGGGTCCCACCTGCCCAACTGATTTTTGACTCGGCTTTTATCATTTTCATTATAATGATGATACTTTTTTTTTTACGCAGGGTTTGACAAGGTTAGGTTAAGAATCCCTAGCTTTATTGACAAACTATTTACAGGTTAAGGATTCCTAACTTTATTGACAAGCTAAGAGCTCTTTCTCGGCTTTTATTTTCATTTTAATGTTGATACTTTTATGACTCGGCTTTCATCATTGTCATTACCATGTTGATAATTTTTGACTCGGCTTTTATTATAACGTTGATAAATTTTAACTGCTTTTATCATCATTATAATGCTGATATTTTTCGACTCGGCTTATCACTTCCAGGTCCTTCACATTAGTTTTTCTCTCTATTGTATGGCTGGAATTTGTTTTATACTCCAATCCAGTTTTATTTTCTCAACTTTTCCATAGTAGAGTAATTCAAATTTCCCTTCATTATAGATCCATCTACCCATGTTTTTCCTGTTATACCTTTATCACGCATTGTATGTGTTATTACACCGTGATTGCACTTGTCGAAGGCTTTCACAGTCTGTGTAGACTACATCTGTATTTTGTTTGTTCTCCAGTACATCTCAGACCTTGTCATAGTGGTCCAGTAGTTGTAAAAAATCAACCAGCTGTTCCTTCATGTTGGTGAGGGGCTCTTGATTTAGGGAATTGGATCTGTGCTCCAGTTCCCCGAATTAAGCCTGAATGTCTTCCACATCCCCCCCAGGCGCTGTATAATCCTCCGGGTTTAGCGCTTCCCCCTTGATTATAATAATAATCTAAACGTAAGCTGCCCTGGGTTGTGTAATTGTTGGTCCCGCGGCCTGGTGGCAGAAGCTCTCACTTCACAGTAATATGTAACTACAATAAATGACCATAATTTTTCAAGGGGTGGACCGGTAAGCCAGCGGAAGGCCTCGGTCAGATGACCAAAAGCTCCAATGGCGGGTCATCATCTGACTAAGACCCGCGTTAGGAAACGCTTGTCCTGTTTCCTGACGAACCTAACCTAACCTAACGTCGCTTCACACGGTGAGGGTCCTGGTTCGATCCCCAGCGAAGAGATGGAAACGTCTGACGTGTTTCCTTTCACTGGTTGTCTATGTTCACACATCAGTAAAATAGGTACCTGGGTGCTAGTCGACTGGTCACTGATGTGGGTCGCATCCTGGGACAAAATTGACCTAATTTGCCCGAAATGCTCAGCATAACAAGCGGCTTTCTGTATAGTAGTATGTCATTGATGTCAACTAGGACTGTTACATGTACTTGCAGTAAATAAAGATATTATATACCTGGAGAGGATTTCGGGGGTCAACGCCCCCGCGGCCCGGTTTGTGACCAGGCCTCATGGTAGATCAAGGCCTGATCAACCAGGCTATTACTGCTGGCTGTACGTAAACCGATGCACGAACCACAGCTCGGCTGATCAGGTAGTAATAATATCTTTATTTACTACAAGTACATGTACAAGGTATATAGTCCTAGCTGACAACAATGACATACTACTATATAGAAATTCCCTTGTTATGCTCTGCATTTCGGGCAAATTAGGTCAGTGTCCCAGGATGCGACCCACACCAGTCGACTAACACCCAAGTACACATTTTACTGATGGGGAACATAGACAACAGGTGGAAAGAAACACGTCCAATGTTTCTACTCTGGCTGGGAATCGAACCCAGGCCCTCGCCGTGTGAAGCGAGAGCGTTAACCACCAGGCCACCAGAGCCTTTAGGTGCCTATCCAAAGCCTTCTTGAGGATAACCAGGGGTCTGTTGGTAATCTTCTTGAATGTATTTTGCTTTCTTGATTGCAGTTATAAAACTATAGATACAAGTTTAATTTTTGTTTTATATTTCTGTCAAAACTATAATGTACTTTAACCGCTTTTTTCCGTAATATAAAATTGTGAACTCGATCTCATTTTCCATCTTACTGTCTCAAAAAAAAAAAATTATATTTTTTTTTCTTAAATTTGAAAGTGGTTATTCTGTAATTTTAGAAAAAGCGTCCTTCCTCCAAAATTTCCACCAGTCAACTATAGTGATAATATAGCATTTATTGTGGTGGAGACGGAAAAAAAAACTAGAAAAGCTAGATACAGCGATTGATAAACAAGGGTTGAGGCTCGACCGTTCGTCATTGTAGGAGCTGCCAGAAATCACCGGCTCTTCAACACGCAAGTTATACTTTTGTATCAATCAAATCACATATTACTCGGGTAGATAATTTCAAGTAGATCCTTCATGTGTTAGCCCAAATCACCGACTAGTATGTTTTAAATAAGTGACCCACTGATCAGATCAGATCGACTGGTCCGAACCCTCGACTGGTCCGAACCCTTGATGGTCCGAACCCTTGACTGGTTTCAAACGGATTCGTTGGACAATAAAGCAGACTGTAAACGGATGGGGTTGTAGGCGCCCTTATAAAACACAAACAAAAAATATAAACCGGGAACGTACACGGTAAGCTGCCAATTATTTAGAAATAGAAAAAAAAAAGCTAAGCTTCTTTTAAAGGGGGTTTAAAAGATATTCAAGGGGTTTGGGAAGTAAATTAAAAAAAATTCAACCACTCAAACTTATGAAGCCGTATGGGTCTCAGTCAATCAAACAAACGGGGTTCCACATGGAAAAATTGTCATTTTTTTGGGAAATTTGGGGCCCCTCTTTTGCAATTCCAAGAACTCTACAACAGTATTAAAACAGGAATTTTTTTGGTATGCCCAAAGAGAAAATCGTGGCAAAAACACAAGGGGAATTTAAAAAAGGTAAACCAAAAGGCTTTCATAGACAACCTGAAGCTTTCTACAACAGATGGGAACATAAAAAGTTGGGCTGAATGGTACTGCCCTTGATACTGGCCATGTAGCCAAAAAACTGTAAGGCTGGAGGTGATGTCCTGGTAGTTAGTAAATGTGGGGCTGATAGTGCGGTCCTGGGGACATAATGGTGAACCAGAGGTGCTGTCCTGGGAGACAGTAATGGGAAGCTGGAGGTGCGTCCGGGGAGACAGTAATAGTGAAGCGGGAGGTTCGTCCTGGGAGCAGTAATGGTGAAGCGGAGGTGCTGTCCTGGGAGACAGTAATGGTGAAGCTGGAGGGCTGTCCTGGAGACAGTAATAGTGAAGCTGGAGGTGCTGTCCGGGAGACAGTAATGGTGAAGCTGGAGGTGCTGTCCTGGGAGACAGTAATGGTGAAGCTTGAGGTGCTGTCCTGGGAGACAGTAATGGTGAAGCTGGAGATTTTGTCCAGGTAGTCGGGAATTATACGCAGGAAGGAATACATATAAATGACCTCATAGGGGACGGGAAAACCGTAGTGGGGAAACAAGTGTAGTCAAAGAAAGATAAAACCAATATTCCCAAACTAGAAATACCACAGAAATAGAAAACAAGAGGACTCCACTAGCTATAGTGAGGATATATTACCAAAAACAACTGGTGGAAGCCCAATTGTTGGTGCTAAGGAGGATAGGAACAAGACAGGGAAACATGCACCAACAGGAATACAGTCACAGAAACCCAAGGCAAACGGAAACCAAGCCTGTGCACATACTAGCACTTGGTATCTGCAGACATGGAATATCTGGAAAAACAGACGGACGTGCAACTATGACCACCCTAGAAAATGCATGCCCCTATGACAACAGAAAATGCAAACTCCCTTCCTGTAAGCTTTTTCCACCCTGAAATGTGTACCCCTTCATACAGGAAAGACTGTGCTATAACTTAAAATTTCCAGGCACACCATCTAAAGGGTACAAAAAGATACAAAACATCCAGGCCATGGGAAAACCTTGGTAGCCACAGCCACTCAAGAGGGAGAGGTTTTTTAGTGCCAGGAAAAGGGAAAAAAAAAAATGGCAGGAAATGCAGAAATCGTACACCAAATCCAGTCATTCCTGGAGTGGAACCACAGTCGATGGCCTCCACTCCAAACCAACAGATACAGATACTAATGCCGGAAAAAAAATCCCCCCCCAGTACCAACAATACCACCAGTCCGATGACATTCTTCTTTGCAAATATACAGGGTCTAAAGCCAGCAACAAGCAACAAAATACCTTTCATCCGTGGACTGCTTGCAGAGGCAAAGGCAATTGTAGTGATACTGGTCCTGTGGGGAGCAGCAGCAGGATAATACTGCACCACCTCTAGGGGCCCTTAACAACAACAACAGTTTGGCGTGCGTCATGGGCACCAACATATGGTGTGTGATTCTCTCCTACTTTATCCATTTATCACCGATGCAGATTACATGGTGAGTTTAAATATGTGGCCTGTAGTTATAACTTTTCTCTTGACATATGCAAGACATCACCATCCCTGTAGAAGCCATTATTAGATGTACTAGTCATTATATTTTGTTGTTGCAGAAGTACTATGAAGATTCTATGTTCAATAAAGCCTAGAGATAAGGCCTGTGTTTCTATCACAACAATTTATTGAACATAGAATCCTGGGCTACCTGGTGGTGATCCTGCGCTGACTACATCACAACATGGAGCGTTTACTG